CATCCAGTACAGCAGTACATGCTCCTGCTGCCAGGCACTGCCTGCACCAGACAGCGCAGCCTTTCTACGCGGAAAGCTTTCAGCAGGGACTGTGATGTTTCAGAGCCCAGAGCTGCTCCCCGTGCCACTCTGGGGATGTGTCTGCACTGGAAGTTTTGGGAATCGATGCTTTGCGGTTTCAGCCCATGCTGCCCCCCGGGTTGCTCTTTTTAATGGCTTTCTGTGTTCTCACACCACTCCCACAGTGGTCAGCTCTGAGCTGGTGAGAGGGAGGAAGCCCAGTCTGGCCTTCATGCCTTGGATTGAAGGGCAACAATTATAAAAATGCCAGGAATTAGTACTTTAGTCAAGGATGCTCTCACCTTGTTCCTATCAGGCAGAGGAACAACAGGAGCCTGATATTTTTGCCATCTTCCTCTTTGCTGCAGACTTTCCATAACATGTTCTCCTTGGACACACAAACATCCCTGTGCTCTGCATTAAGGCTTGCCCTCCTCGCTCTGTTCCCTCTGCTATTCCCAAGGTCGACCTGTAACCCATGCACATCCTGGCAGACGCCCGCATCAACATTGTGGGAGCGTGCCAACAGACCCAAATCACCAGCCTTTCAGGTCAGAATATTCTGCTCCTCAGCCCTTGGCGAGTCCCGTATGGGTGTTGTAGAATGTAAACCTTCTCTTTTTTTTGTTTGAAAACACCCTGAGTGTCAGTGGTGTGCTCTCTTTTCCACAGCATGTTATGAAAGCATGAAATAAAGTTTGTCTTCTATTGCTATGGAGGGTCTGGCCTGTGTGACTGGCAGAAAACGTCTCCTGCTCATGGCTTTAAAGGAAACAATTTTTTCTTTTATTTTCCCGGGCTTTTTTGGGTTTGTGTGGTTTTTTTGTTCGTTTGGGGTTTTTTGTGTGGGTTGGTTTTTTTTGTTTTTTTTTTTTAAGGAATCAGTGTTTCTTGAAGAGATGGGAATTTCAGACAGGAGCAGATTTCCTTTTCAAAGGAAATCTAAACCCTAGTCAGCATCCTTGCTATTTTTATCCTCTAGCAGCACCTGCTGGACATTGGTGGAAACAGAAAATCTAGCAGAAGTGACCATGCAGTTCAAAAAGCAGCTGGAAGTACAGCGATGGAGCCAGCACCTTCGCCCAGCTTCTGAAATCAGGCACCTCACCCCCTGCTTTCTGAGCTCCCAAGGGAGCTGACTGTGTCTGCCACTGCTTTGTCGAGGTGTCTGAGGCAGAAAGCAGAGAGGTTGGGCTGGGATGCTCCGAACAACTCATCCAGTGCCAGATTAATCTTTCCTCTCTTCCCTTTCTCTGGCCATGGGCTGTGCAGCAACGGCTTGGCTGGAGACCCCCGTGTGTGCATTGTGCAGGGGAGATGGGTGCACTGAGGGTCTCTCTTGGGACGGTTTGGGAGCTTTCCCCACCTTTGGTGCATCTGCCAGGGCTGGAAACGTGAGGCTGCCAGCTCTGCAAAAGTCATTTGTAGCCGCTCAGTGCATCTGGGTGCCTGAAAAACGTCCCCTGCTCTGCTCACGCAGGGATGGATCTGTCTGGAGCCTGCCCTGCAGCCCTGGGACACATTGTCCATGGCATTGTTCCGGGCTGTGTCTCATCCTGCTGCCTGATCACAGCCTGGTTTACTCCCCCCAACCCCAGGGACATTTGGGAGGGACCCTGGGGGGCGAATTACTCACAGTACAAGAGCAGGTTTGCAGGTGCAGCACTGAAAAGGGACTTGGCATGGCCCCAGGGACCCTGCTGCCCTCTGTGATGCTGTACGAAGCCTCCCCATGGGATGGTGGCTGTGGGGCAAGGCAAGCCCCAAAGGTTTAGGCAGGGCAGAAACCAGAGCCGAGCCCTTCATCCCCACAGAAACTCTTTATTTTGCATCTGGTTTCACCTTCATGCTGGGTTAGACTTGCCTGGGGAAATGCAAACCTGCAGGCAGAGAGCTGCCAAAATGCAGCACATCAGCACGGGCAGAGACTGGCTCAGGGAAGGGCCATCTCCTTGCGATCCTGGGCCTCCTGGATTTCCCCATTTGCTGTCATTTTATCCGGGTGAAAACACTGGTACCAATCCTGCAGGAAACCCCAAATCACTGTGGTTCACCCAGCTAGGGTCACCTATGCTGTGGTGGACGGTACAGAGAGGGAACGTGAGGGAGGGCAGTGTGTTTCCCGCTGCCTCACTGGGTACTGAGTGGCATGTTCTGGCCTCCAACACTCAGCCTGGGGCACACCCGGCATGCAGGGTCTGGCCAGGTCTCAGGGATGCTTCTTAGCCCCTGCTCATTGCTGGTGACAAACCCATTTCACCCTCCCAGTCCTGCCATGCCTCATTTTGTGGGATTTCTCCAAGCAGAAAAGCTTGGCACAGTGGTGGCTGGGACCCAGCACTCACCGGGTGGTTTTCCAGTCCTCATCGGGGCTATCAGCAGCCTCTCGCATCATCCACAGAGCATGCAGGGTCTCCTCCCCGTTGGTGCCCACATAGCACTGGCCCAGGAAGACAGTAGTCTGGGCTGTCCCTGGGTCTGGAAGAGTCCGAGGTGGTGTGAGTTGGGGTGACAAGGCATGAAGCCACCCACCCTGTGTCCCACTGGCACCCTGCTGCAGGGCAATGACCCCCTCCTGCCTACCTTGTAGCCACCAGTGCACAACGAATGAGAAAATGGGCTGCGGGGCCAGCCCCGCATCCTGCTGAGACCCCTCCAGCGGAGAGCTGAGGATTTTAAGATTGCTGGCTGCTGATGCCGGCAGATAGGAACCGGAGAAGCTGCCATCCTTGCCCAGGACAGAGACTGTCATCTGGCAGCTGTCGTCGCTCTGCCATGACCCGGAGAGGACACACTGCAAGGCCAACAGTGCAGTTGGAGTGTGTGGCCAGGTAGTGGGGACATCTCATTGCCACCACCCTGCGATGGCTACAGCACTGGGGATGTGCTGCAGACCCTGTGCATGGCTGGTGGCACCAGCATTGCCACAGTGACACAGGCATCACAGCCATGCACATCTCCAGGCTGTTTGCTGCTGCCAAACCCAGGGAGAGCAGATCCTTCCCATGCTAAAGCAGAGGATCCAGTTTGCCTGTCTCTGGATGGATCCCCTTGCAGTAGCACCCTTGCAGGAGCAGTCCCTCCCTCCCAGCCCCTCCACAGCTTCTCTACTGTGTAGTATTGGTCGCACCAGCACCAGCATCTCAGTGCTGGCTCCCTGCTGAGCACCGCAGCCCCCCAGCCCCAGCTTTTGGGTCTAGCAGGCTGCCAGTCCCCGTACCTTCCTTTCCGCAGGGATGGCACATGCTGCCAGGGCCAAGATGAGAACCAGGGTGAAAGCAGTTCTCCCCATGGCCATGGGGCTGTGAAGTGCCCAGCACGGCTCCCCCCCCAGCCCTGTGCCCCATCCCCATTTAT